TTTCAAGTTTGTTTCCATACAAGTATACATAGTAGTCTCTAATGATCTTTTGTATTTCTCAGGGTCAGATGTGACTTCATCTTTGTGTTTCTGATTGTGTTTATTGGACTTTTTCTCTCTTTTTCTTGGTCAGTCTAGCTAGGGGACCATCAGTCTTGTTTATCCTTTCGAAGAACCAGCTTTTTGTTTCATTGATTTTTTTTTGTATTATCTTTTTGTCTTCTATGTCCTGGATTTGGGCTTTTATTTTGGTGATCTGGATTCTTCTGCTGTTGGGAGGTATGGATAGTGAGAAAGGGGCTGATTGCACCCAAGTTACCACGTGAGGGGGACAACATCAAATTACAAGACTTTGAGCTTCACATGCTGTGTTCTTCCCTCTGTTCCAGACATTTTAGATGGTACCTAGGAAGAAAACTAAGATGTGATCAGAAAGGGGGAAGAAAACTGTGGAGAGTATGGTATCACAGGTGCCAAAGGAGGAGAGAATTTCCAGAAAGAGGGATATCAAATTATATCAAATGCCACCATAGAGAAGTCAAAGGAGGATAAAAAATGCTTAAGGATATCACAATTAGGAAGCCATGTGAGGCTTGGATATAGCTACTGTAAGGATTGGTAAGGGTGAATGGCAGGTTATAGTTGGTTGAAGAATAAACGCTTTTTAAATTAGTTTAGATGTGAAAAGTAAGAGGGAGAAAGTGGTAAAGGGGATGGGTATAGAGTTGGGGGATTTCTCACTTTACAACTTTCTTTTAAAAGAGAGAGACGTAGCCGGGCTTGGTGGCTCAGCCTGTAATCCCGCGCCTTTGGGAGGCTGAGGTGAGTGGATTGCCTGAGCCCGTGGGTTCGAGACCTGCCTGGGCGGCGAGACCTCATCTCTACGATAAATCAAAAAATCAGCCGTGCGTGGTAGCGCATGCCTGTAGTTCCAGCTACTTGGAAGGCTGAGGCGGAAAGATCGCCGGAGCCCAGCAGGTCAAGGCTGCGGTGGCTGGGGGCAGCCACTGCGCTCCAGTCTGGGCGACAGAGTGAGA